GATAGGTCTCCCGATGTCATTGAATTCTACTTAGTCTTTCCAGTCTCACAAAAACTCGTATCATCCAGAATAGACTGTAGTTTCGACCTCACCTGGGGCTGATCAGCACACTCATTTGGATTCGATACCAGGTCATGAATATCATGGCGACGTTACCAAACCGTTCCACGTCCAAGGGTTCCATTGTGTCACTAGGCCTCTCCCAACGTACATTTAGTGTGAGCCTGTCGATTAAGCAAACATATACCTGCCATTGCAATCGGTAACGTTACTTAATTTCGATGTAAGCAGCATTCGAGCCTATCAGTAATTCTTGAATAAGAAGCCTACTTATACCGAAAATAAATAGCATCATAGATTGCAATGCGAAATACGTGTTTGCCTAGTCGACAATCTCACTATGCGTCCGACTTGGGAGATTTTCAACTGCCGGCTGGACTGCAGTTTCAACCTCGCCTCCAACCGGATTCGAGACCGGGGCATTAACTGGCATCCCAATGTCTACCGATTGAATTATGGACAATTTCACGATCAACTTTTATATCAGCCAAAGCGACTACTTCTCGCCTCGGTAGCATGTCACCTGCGCCTCTGAGGCGTCACCAAACCGGAGTCTCAGAGGTCGGTATAAAGCCTAGCCTCGATTTCGTCTTGGTCCATCTGGTTTACAAGCTCGGCTGCGATGCGGCTGGGAGCAAGGCTCGAGGATGGACGACCTCAAGTCTCAGCATGCTCCTCTGCCCAGGCGTTCAGAGGTCGGGCATTGTGTCATTTTGACGGACCACTTTCATGACAGGATCGAGATCTCGCGCACTGCAGCCTCACTCGCCCCTTCTGGACGGCTATGTCTAGCCGAGATCTCTGACATGCAGTCTAATCCTTTTCCCCAGCCTTAGGCCTTAGTTACCCAAAAAAGGCAGGCCAGTACGTATCTACAGCCGAAAGCGCTGGTGGTAAAAAATGGGCCTTCACTGCCCACACTAGTTACATGTTTGCGTTTTTCCCCTCCTACCAGCAGTAGGTCGAGAATGAGAATAAATAAGCCAGCACACCGTGGTACCATGACATGGCAACTTGATGTCCTTACGAAGTTTCGCCTCAATTATGTGTTGATGCCTCCAGACTGACTGCGCTGCCGCTTGATGCAGCAGCAACAGCAGCAGCAGCAGCAGCAACAACAGCAGCAGCTCGAGCGTCCAATTGAATGGCCGCCAGGCAACCTCAACGGGTGAATGTGAAGGTGTCCATGTCTGTCTGCTTGACAGGCATGGTAGTGTGCCGCAGGAGTGTGACTCCCATGCTGACGCGTGTCTACATGACGGCCAGCCTGCAGGCACAGCCGTGGACTCGTGGACGTCCAGTCTGCAAGAGGTTGCATCCCATCACATTCACATTCGCACACACACACACACACACAGTCGCTTTCACATGTATGCCCACCCACTCACCCACCCAAACATACAAACAAACATATGCACACGTCAAACAGCAACATCAGCGACAACAACACACAGTTCATGGCTATCTATCCGGAGAGATCATTGTCTAGTCTTTGTGTTTACTCCCTGAAGAGATAGGACCTCCAACTGTGCCTATAACTCGGCCATCGATCGGGCAGCCAAGTGGTTCGACTGAGTGGATACAGTATTGCCCAAGTGTGTATAAACCAGGTACCGGCATACATGCACACACTGGACCTATACTAGACCCCTATCTACGGGAGCTTGGTAGAGCCAGACCTCAACGGCTCAGTGCATTGTGGGCTGCCCTCCTACTTTTTCGCTTGACTAACTCCATATGACCATTCGCTAATGACAATAGGTTTGGCATTTTCTCAAAACCCAATTTCGCGGACTAACGCGTTCAAGTCTAACTACTTGCCCTGCTCTACCCCTGTGAATGTGCATGCGTATGTGTGCTTGTTTTTCTGTATGTATGCATGGTGGCATGTGTACGTGTGTGCGTGTGTTCGGGCCGAACTGTATGGTTTTGTTCTCGTGTGTGTTCTGCAGATTCGGCTTTTCAAGCGTATCCACGCGACTACTTCTCTCCCGCCATCTGAACAGAACATAGGTAATTAGAAGTAACTGGATGGATTTATGCGAAGGTAAAGCAAGCAAGATTGGTAGATGAAGAGGAAATATATACATACATATATATATATTTATTTATATATTTATAAGGTGAGGAATAGTATGTATGTATGTGTGTGTGAGAGAGAGAGAGGTAAAAAGAGATGAACTGAGTGAATAAGTAATCAATATAACCAGGGACGCTATAATTTTCCCAGTCTACCAAACGTCGACCCGTGTGTTGTTGAGATCGCTTGGCATGGATGATGAAAATCGAAGGTCAGATCAGCGCTCTTGACCCAGTGGCAAGAGTTCACCGCAGAGATGGCTCCCAAGGGGTGGAGGAGAATAAAGAACGGCAATGGCACACAGACTGAGGAAGTTGCGATGCTAATGCAGCAAGACGGAGAGGCAGAAAGTCCTCTCCATTAAGTGAGTAGAAACAAGCGAGGAGCACCAAGGGGCTATTCGTGAAATAGCAATATTAACATGGTAGATTACTCAGTCGAATGGATGAATAGGCCAAAATCTCCCAAAATATGAAGACCCAAACAGCATTTAATCATACAACCCACTCACAAACAAATCATCCTGAAAAATCGTCCATTAAATAATCCACCAAAGTGTAAGTACCAAACGTCCGGACGCCAGTCAATTGCATCTTTGCTCAGAGGGTTTCAGGTAATTAGAGTCTATTTCAATGTAGTTGAGAATGAAAGTGTGTAGTGAAGAGGCTCCTAGATCGATATAGAAAGAAGATGTATTTTGGTCTTAGTTGGAGGTTCACGTTTTTATGCTTCTTGATACAACCCTGTTCAGTTTAAAAGGAAGCTTGTTAAGAATTCGTCAATTATAATATTTGGTCTGTGTGATTGGACTTTACATTTGGAAGGGAAAGTTTGCTAGAAGGATTGCCTTGTGTCTTTAAAATAATTTCTCGATTGATGACTCCCTGCGACTCCGGCGAACCAAAAGAGAAGAGGCTACGCATATTGTTGGGCTATTTCGTAAAGTCTGTGCTGCATAACACGAGCCAACTTAGGTGTATTCTAGATACGAAGAACAATTGGGTTGTGATGAATATTCTGAGATAACAATGTTGAGGAGAGCTCCCTTTCGTATGAAAGTTCAAGAAGCAGAGATTCGTGGGTTTATCTCATCAGAGGAGGACGGCTCAATCCCGTTGCACTGCAGCCGTTTATGAAAGATAATTAGCCAAAAGATTCTATATCTATCTG